TTTCTCCTTCCATGAGGACCTACAGGTCATAACATCCATGAGGTTCTTTGTTCTGATATTGAAAAGAGTGATTGGATGGCAACCAGAGGAAACTAGACAGCTGTCTGTGTTAAGTGCATAATACCTGCCCCACTGTATGTGTTCATACATTAAACAATACTTTTCATTAGCAAATCTAGAGACCTGGTAATAGGAACTGGGAACTTCTAGTTTTACAATTTTTGTGCCCTGTAGAACTCTGGATCCTATTTCAACATTTTCAAAAAAATTCTCTTGGGGTGGGCTTTGTGGCATGGTGGGTTAAGCCACTACTTGGGGCACCTGCATCCCACGTTGGGATGCCTCATTCAAGGCCTGGCTCCTCTGCTTCCAATCAAGCCTCTTGCTAATGCATTTGGGAGGCAACAAATGATAGTTCAAGTACTTCAGTTTCTTCCACCCGCATGGAAGCCCTGGAAGGAGTTCCTGGTTCTTGCTCCTTCCTTCAGCCAGGCCCAACCTTGGCTGTTATGGCATTTGGGGAATGAACCATCATTTTGAAGCTCTCTCTATGTCACTCCACCTTCAAAATAAATAAACAAACACATATTTTTTAAAAGAAAGGATTCCATTCTTCCTTCAAAATCAATCAATTTAAGATATATTTGTTAGAAATATCAGTATGACAAATACATGGAGCTCAAGAGACACCTACTCCGCAGTTCCCTTACCAAAAGCAGATACCGCCATCTAAATACATTCTTAGGCAGTAGAAATGGTTTGTCATTTTCAGGAACACACAAGTTTACTGGGTTGACTGCGGTAGAAATTTATATAATATTTAGCAGAGATTGACCTAGGTGTCCACCAAAGCAGGAACCATTGAGGCTGAGGCTTGAGTATCTACTTAAAGATTTCTAATGTGATTCATTGATAGTGGGAACACTTTTTGAACTGCAAGCAGCTTAGTAAGAGATACCACACTCAGCAAAGAGGCTCTGACATCGCAGCTCTAAGGTCCTGCAGACAATCATTCAAAGGATAGTGGAAATGAAGCAGAGATGGAAAGTAGAGGGATTGTTACAGAGGGAGAGAAATGACTTGGTATATTAGTCAATGAAGGAGCAAGGAGAAGACAGAATTGTAAATAATGTTAGTAACCATATAAGCTTTTTAAAAAACACTTAGTATGATTCCAGGACATTAAACACATTCCTTATGTCACTCTTTAAATCCACTGAGAGGGATTTTGTTACTACCACCTTCACCCCATTCTCTAGTTGAGGAAGTGGAGGCAATACAGAATAAGTTGCCCACAGTCCCTCAACCAGTAAGTCATTAGAGCCAGTTTTAACCCACTCTGTTTCCTAGAGTGGAGAACTCGGGTAGGTAGGGGGGACTGGATATCCAAGTAGAAGAGTGAGTAGCTAGATATACGGAAGAGAGTTTATGTGAGAGGTCAGGATTTAAAAGATTTGTGTGGAGTCACCATCAATTTGATAAAAGTATTACTTTTGAGAAAGGATGGACCCAGAGCCAAGAACAAAGCCTTGGAAAATGGTCAATAGGAGAAACTGAAAATCACTGATGGTAAGAATAGAAGTGGTGAAGGGAGAAGGCAGTGATCAGACGCAGTCTTAGGAAGAAGATAATCAATAGCATCAAATGCCCCAGAGATATTTAATGTGGTAATAACTGAGAAAATGACACAAGCATGGTAGAAAAACACAAAGAAAACCATTTTGCCTTTTTGGTAGGAGTGGAACCAGATTTCAGAGGTGTAATATGAGGATAGGTAATGAAGAAAATCACACAATCAATATATTTTATCTGTTCAGGTATTTGGCAGTAAAAGCTGGTAAATAAATTTTTCTCTGCAAGTGTAGTCATCAGCTAACATCTTATTCTCTCTAGATAACCCTATGCTTAACATCATCTTTGGACGATCCACGAAAAATGATGTGCCTCCAACTCCTTGCCACTCATCTGGGAGAGATGTGCTGGCCAAGAGGGGCGTATTGAATGTTCAGAGGAGGTGGCTAATTCTGCCAGAGCAGAAGCTTCAAGACCACAAAGCTTACTCAAGGGTCTAAAGGATGGTAAGTTAGGAAATGTGTCGCAGCGGGTGAGGTGGGGGCACTCTTGAGAACACTCAAGAGGCAAACACTTCCCAGTCATATGAATGGGCATTCTTGTTATCACTCGGCACAGCTCACATCGCAGGAATTGTGAGGTGGCAGGCTGTCTCCACTGCACAGGCCACGGACTGTCTTGCATGACAAACAGCCAGCTGGCCATGCCCCTCATACACACTAAAGCAGCTGAGAAGAAGGACAGAAGCTTTATAATCAGCCTGAGGACTGGTAGGCACAACGCTAGTGCTTTCCAGCTACCGCAGCCTCCAACATGCCTGAAGGTAAGAGAGGAAGCAGATGAGGAATTGGGGAAATCAAAGTCTCCTACTCTCCCAGTATGACACTGGCAGAAGTGAGACTGGAATCCAGCATCCCCACTTCCTCACTTCCTCTGCTAGTGCTTTTCTCATTATATATGCTAACTCTCTGCTGTCTCAAATGAGTGACCCCCAGTGCAACCAATTTGGTTATTTGACATTTATTGTCTTTTCAATTTGAATCAGAAGCTACTAATCCAGAGTTAAATCCTTAGGCAATATGTTTGTCCTTTCTAAGCAGGGTAGGTAAAAATCCTCACCTCTTTGAATGCCCAGAGCTAACAATTAACTTTCCGTCTTTATGTCTACATCAAATCTGCCAAAAAGAAAAATCAAAAACATCCTCCCTGGAACAGCAAATTCAAAAGCTGAAAAACATCTTAAGAATTAATCTCCGTGCCCTCTTCTTTGGCTGGCAGGTTAAAAACTGAATTTGCATAAATCCACAGAAGTCAGCCCTCTCTTGTTTGTGAGGATAAAAGAGGTCTTTACATGCTGAAGGGAAGAGGGTTAGCACACTCTTACAAAGTCACAAAAAAATGGTACAAGGATGAGTACAATGGAGTGCTTTAACTAGGAATCTGGGGGTAATTTTAAGACAAAGAAAGAGTAGACAAGTGGATAAAAAAAAAAAGGTTAAATCTACTACCCAGTGGCATATAGACATGGTCTAAGCTTGACAGGGAGGGGCAAGGGAGAAGAAGGTAGAAGTTTAGATGAGAGGTTTATCTGAGATTTATGGAGCCTGCCACAGATCAAAGACCCTCTGAACACTCAGTAGCTTACTCTGCCAGCTCCCTCCTCCCCCCATGATATATACAAGACAGATAGGTGTCCATATAGCCCAACTCTGGCATCTGTGCTGATTGGCTGATGCCATGTCATACTTCAGTCAATATTTTAATATCACCCCTTTCTGTATCCAAAACTGTACTCATTAGCTTTAGACCTAAACTCTTTAGAAGGTTCAGAAGCTGAACTCATTATCTTCCTTTAGAAGCTAAACTCATTATCTCACTATATTCAATAGTCCGTCTCGTGGGCTTTCTTTACTCTGTGCCACCTCTATATTCCTAATCAGTCTCACATAGCTTTTAATTCTTGCCCCATACCTGTCTGCATACTCCAAAGTGTAAGCAGATCTCAAATCCAGTAGAGTCTGCCTGGCACATACTGAAATTTTACAGAACATTGTCAATTATATCCTAGACAGGCAAGACGATCAGACAAGACAGCACTTGTGTGCACTAGAGGGTGGTTGGAAGCAGAACAATTGCTAAGGGAGCCATAGTTGCTGGCACAGAAGTTCAGTCTGGTGAGCAAATATGAGGACAAGGGGTACAGGGTTCTTTGATATAAACCAGGTAGTCTGGGGGAGTTGGGGCAAATTAGCAGTCATCAGTTTTCTGATGAATCAGGTGCCTCTTGTATTCCAAGAGCAGGTGAAACCTGGCATTTGTCACATTGTTGGCCACATGATTCTTGGTAGGTCTTTGAACAAGTGGCAGGGCTGATGCTGTCTTAGAGTTTAGCCAAGGTCCCAACAGTGGTGCGTGAAGGTAATAATAAGACAACACAAATCGGTAGCCCTTGAATGGGATTGAGTTTCTGGACAATTAGCACAAACAAAACTTGAGAACAGGGATGAAGTCAGGAGGGCAATTGTAAGAACTGAGTTATGGGGTAAGTAGGATAAAGCCCAAGAATAAGGCAGAAACTTTATCAGAATTCAACCAATCAACAAATATTCATATCTACCTACTATAAATCATCATAGTGAATACTGAGAGTTTAAATATAGATATAGTTCAGTGTGATCATTGCCAAATCCTAATCAAGACAAGAGAAAAGCTCAGAGGAGGGGATGGAGTAATTACATGAGGCTACCTATAGGGGATGATGCTCCAGCAGACTGCAGAAGTAGGAGTAAACCCCAGTGATGTAGAAAAGGAATGTCAGACAGAGGCATGGCAAAGGTGCTGAAGATGGAGTGCCTGGAGAATTTTAAGGTGCTCATGCACTTTGCACTGACAGAGGGTGGCTGAGGGTGTAGCCACCAGAACATATGGTTCCATGGGTGAAACTCTGCAGTCTCTGACTAGAAGTGACCCTGAATGGATATTCAAGCAGGGGTGGACTCAAAGACCTAATCTGAGTGGAGAGGAAGGAGAGACATATTTAAATATATCTAGCTTAACACTTCTGCATTGTGTCCTCTCCATTTCATACTTCAAAGACTGATGTGGGCCTCCTACTTACTTGTGTCATATCATGAACATAATATAAACATTCACACAAGTGTGGCCTTGACAGTGGAGGTAAGGGGTGGGAAGTTGAGAGAAGTAGGAGTTAGGTGGAGCTGAAGCCTCAGGCTGACTAGATCTGGCTGTCCTTCCATTTCTTAGACCCTTTTTCTCTTCTGTCTTTGGAAGAGTGAGTATAGAACCCAGGAACCAGAGTTGACATGGGTGACATTATTGTAGCTTTCCAAATGTGTCCTCTGTGACACTGCCTTTTTTCTTCACTGGTTTTATTTTTGTTTCTTTGCTTGTCCGATCACTTGCATCTTATACTTTCAAAATGTAATGGGTGTTCTTACTAAAATTGGAATGATACAGAGAAGGTTAACATGGCCCCAACATACAGATGATACACAAATTCATGAAGGGTTCCATACTTTTATGTAAATTGAAGTTCAATTCACAATAGTCCAGATGTCCATCAACTAATTACTGGAAAAAGAAAATGTGGTATATATACACAATGGAATACTACTCAGGAATAAAAAAGAATGAAGTCTTGTTTTTTGCAACAAAATGGATGCAACTGGAAACCATTATACTTAATGAAATAAACCAGTCTCGGAAAGACAAATACATGTTTTCTCTGATATGTAGCAGTTAATATAGAATACAAAAAGATGTATGGAATGAAGTGGACATTTTGGGATATGACTGTTGCTTTTAGCCCTTGTTTATACCTGTATGGAACTGTGGTCTTCCTATTTTTCATTTGTTGAATATTATGATTAGTGGTGAATTAAACCTGTGAATATAGAGTGGATTAAAATTATGGTTTTGCAAAAACTGATGAGGAGAGGGGAGAAAGGAAGGGGGATTAGAAGGGGGAACAAGGGAGTGAGGGAAGTGTGGTTATCTTCTTGGAACTATACCTATGGAACACATGAAATATGATGTCTTTATTGTAATAATTTTTTTTAGAAAACATAATGGTTAACTACCAGTGCAGCCTTCCTGTGCCAAGTTTTTTTTTTTTTAATGCATGTGGAATGAAATGCATTTTGCTTATAAATTTCACTGGTATTTAAAAATAGATTTGAAAAGAATGACAATAAAATAAAGTAAATTAAAGACATCAACCATTATTTTTACTATTGCAACACTTAAAATCTTGAACCAATAAGGCTTTAAGTAGAAAATGGTAAGAATTTCTAATTCTAAAATCGTCCACCTTTTTGAAAGTTGAATATCATATACACAAACAGTAACTGCCATAACAGATGAATACAGACCATCAAGTTAAATGTGAAGAAAGATCAGTGTACATCAGAAAAGCAACTTCTGATTTTTTATTAAAGATTTTTTTTTAAAAAAAAAATCTCAAAGAAAAGAGGAAAGGTAAAATCAACACACCTTCTAAGTTTTTTTAACAAGGGGCTCCTGTAAGTTTCCAAAAGTAATATTGAATAATTTTGCACTTACTACAGTGTTCGCAAAACATCACAGTGTAATTTCAGGATCTGGGCTCCATTTCAGTGGACACGGTTCACCTTAAGGAAAAAACCTTTCTAAAGGCAGCATTTCCAAAGAACATAAACGGTTTCTATCTGCCCTCATAGTCTGCTTTTCAATTCTAGTCCATGTCTGTGACTGCAAAGACTGCAATTTACAGGTCAGATTCAGAGAAACAAACTTCCCTAAACATCTATCTATCCATGAAACTAAAAGCTCTACAAACCACTATTGGCCTCAAACCTAAGATTTTGTTACAAATGACACCAGGAATTTGGCACAGGAAGGAAGCAGGGTCGGGCTGCCTGGCTGGGCCCAGCAGAGCACATTCCTATGGCTTCCATTAGTGAGAGCCTGTTTCCCAGGGCAGCCGACCACAGCCAGGCTCTGGGCCACCGCAGGAAGAGTTCAGGAAATACACTGCACTCGGCTGCCGAAGCACCCCGTTACAATCCTAGGACCTCTGTTCCCGAGGACTGGAGCACCAGGCGGGAGGCCTTGTGTTACCAGGAACAGGGGAGCCAACAAAGCAAGGGCAGCTCCACGCAGGAAGCAGCAGCTCTGCAATGCCGCTGAAAACCCAGTGCTTTCATATTTCTGCTGTTTTCTCCTCAGGGTTTGGTTTTTGTTCTCAGCTCTTTGGTCCTGGGAATATAAGATGGCTGCCTCCATCCCGGTACCCCTTGTCTTCCCGAAGTCACTCCAGAACACAAAAGAAAGATGCATTCTCAGGGGGTTGCTTGTTAGCTGGGAGGGAAACCAGTTGGCTGCCCTGCAGGTCCCTGAAACACAGGTTAGGTCCCTTGTGCCAACCCTGGTTGTAAGGGAGGGAAGCAATATTGGGCGTGTTCTTGTCTTTCGGAGTCTGACAGCAAGATAGAGGTGGTAGCTGCTCATGGCGTAGGAGCAGCTGCAGGATGTAATTCAGTGGACAACCAGCTGTGTCACTCCAGATAGCTAACCACTGTTAATGGCAGCTCTTTCTGGGCATAAACATTGGGCTCCTTTCATTTTGATGATGTTGATTGAATGATGCACAAAATACTGATGTTTGCAAGGTAATTTTCTGGGAATTTCTAAATGATTGATTTGTCTTCTGAGATAACCATTCTTTAGGGCCTTATACTTAAGTCCTATGAATCAATATCCTCAATATGTAAAAATGGGCAGAGCATGAATAACATTGTAACAAGGGCTTAAAAATTTTTTTAATGTATTTGAACTGCAGAGAGACAGAAAAATCATCATCTACCAGCTGGTTCACTCATCAAATGTGTGTAACAACTGGGGCTGGGCCAGGCCAAAGCCAAGAGCCAGGAACTCAATGTGGGTCTCCCAGGTAGGTGGCAGGGACCCAAATTCTTTAGACATCACTTGCCTCCCAGGGTGTGCATTAGCAGGAAGCTGGCATTGGAAACAGAGACAGCACCTGAACCAGATACTCCAATATTGTATATATCAGACACATGGGATGTGGACTTTCCAAGCAGAGTCCTAAGTCTGCTGCATCAAACCTGCCTCTTGATGGTGTGTGTGTGTGTGTATACTTTTTATATATAATTTTTTTTCAAGAATTTTTTCTAAACTTGGGTCGATGAGGATTGATAATGTCAATTATTGAATCTTCTCCCAAGGGAGAAGTGGGTAGGTGGTCCATGGGAGAAGCATTCTGCTGGGCTCTGTCAATATTTGTTTGATTTCCCAAAGCTACAGTACTGCCTATTAGCAGCCCAATTGCACAAAAAGTTAATCAACATTTCTACAGGAGTGCTGTGCTGGCATCCATAAACTACTTTTAAGATAAAAGATAGGCTTAGAAGAGAATTCATGTTGAAGTCATGCTTAATTATTTTATTTACTTGCTAGATGGGCACATAAAGTAAAAGGCCATTACTACCTGTGACTTGATAGTTCCACAAAGCTTTCTCCTAGGACCTGACTCCTATCCATTTTCCTTCACAAGTATCTTCTGTTCACAGCTATTTAAAACTACGTCAAGGAACATAGGTGGTAGGGGGAAGCCTTGAAATGCAGACATCCACAGTGAAGGCAGGTTTGTGACCTGGGAAAACCGTTTATATCCCATCCTCTGTTATCACAGCAGCACAAAGAAGCCCCTGTCGGAATGAGACGGGGCTGGGGAGAGGACAGCAGGCAGGGAGGAATGGTGGGAGGAGAGGATGGGCCTTGTAGGAAGACTCAAGTGGTGCTGACACCAATACCAGCTGCACTTCCTGGGAGTTTGTGAGACATGCGGAATCCTGGGCTACCCCCAAACCCACTGAGTCAGGCTCTGGACTTGAGCAAGATCCTTAGGAGATTTTTGAGCAGGTTAATAAGATCTCAGAAGCACTGCTCAAGGATGGGAGGCCCCAAGAACAACCCTGGTTGAGCCTTGGCAGCTGGGGAACAGTCTGGGCTGAAGGTGAGTGTGAGGTTAGATACATGAGACAGGCACACTCAGGTGTCAAAACAGTCGCAATGACAATTATGATTGCCAGCTTTAATTAGACACTGACAATATGGCAGGTACCATGGTTACTTTTCATGCACAGTGTCTGATTTTTACAATAACCCTGCAACCCAGGTGTCATAAGGAAACAGAGGCTTAGGGAAGTTAGGTAACTTGTTCAGGATTATATAGCTAGCAGGTGATAAAACCTCCAGCAACCCTGGACTTTGGAATCAGTAAAAAGCTGAGCTTAAATTCTGTCTGCTTCTTATGTCCCATCTCTGGGCCTCAATTTTCTCCTCTGGAAAATGAAGATAAGGAAACATTTAGCTTTCAGGTTACTGTTAGCTTGAAATTATAGATGTGTGTGTGTGTGTGTGTGCTTACTACTCTTTCCAAAAAGAAGGATGTCTCCAAAAGCAGCCACTTCTTCACAATTTTGCCCATGCAAGCCTTGTTTCAGCAGGTTGACTTGGAACCCAATGAGATGTGCAAAAATGCTTATGATCTGGGCCTCTCTCTCATTCGACATGCACACCAGTGAAGAGTCTTCATTTGTCAAGAAAGCCTGGTCGACTGAGTCATTCTTGGGAAAAAAAAAATGTGGCAAGCATCAATCATGTGAAAACACAAAAATGGAAATGCAAAGCCGGTAATGGTCCCTATCCTGAAGAGGTGACTGCCACCATTTGGCAATTGGCAGAGAAGGGAGAGGCACATTGTGCCCACGAGGGGTGTTAAGTGAACAGGGAGAATATGGCAGGCACTCTCAGAAATGCAGGGAGGGCTCCACAGAGAAGCTACTCTCTCACCTGTGACCTCAGCAATCATTTCCTACATCAAAGTATAATTCTAGAAAGTTCAGGCAATAACTCTCATTCAACTATATAATGAAAATGGAATTATCTCTTTTTTTTTCACTGAAAAGAAATTATTTGCATGTCCACTATACTTCCCTATGAGTGGAAAAAAGCAAAGATTTCTTGGCTTGCCAGCCTTATCACTTTCTGATGTGCTAAAGAATTAGTTTCCATTCCTCCATATTCTTTGGACTTTCCTTTAACAGTATTTCTTGAAGTCCACTAAAACGTGAAGTTGGAGGAGTTCAGAATTATCCAGAATCACATTCCTGAGAGTATAGCATTTGTTCTTAGGATGCGCTTATTAGTCATGAAATAAGGGAACGAATTACTTCAGAAGCGATGGGTGTGGTAGGAAGGAGCTTGACTGGGGAGTGAGAGGACCTGGATCCACTCCAGCTTTGCCACTAAAATGGCTGGGTGGCCTTCCCCTTCGTGAGCCTGAACTTTCTCACCTGAAATTGAGGGAGTTGAGGCGGTCATATGGCCTCCAAGGGAGCAGGAAATTTGGTAAAAACAAACAAACAAAATGCAAGTGTCCACACCCCACACTCAGATTCAGAATCAAACCCAAAACGCACTCAAATGGACCCCAGGACTGGCTTGTTAGTGAGTGT